AGAATTAAAAGACAATAAAAACAGTCTGTCAGCGTTCTTCAGATGATTTGATGTTATGTTTCTAATATGAGACCTGACTCCCAGATGAGTTCTAGATTTTTCCCTCGCTGACAGAATCACACCGTTACCCTCAGTGTGGGTTAGTTCCACCTGAAGACACCCCGACAGTGATCTACAGAGGGACAACACCTCCACCTGCCTTCAGTGTAGTCGATGTCCGGCCGCGTGGAGACGACGGCCCAGGCCAAGCCCACCAGCAGCGCCACCACCAGGTTCACCACGATCCACGGCCGCAGGATCTGCTGCTCCGAACCCGGAGGCCTGAGGGAGGAAGCAGCACACCTGGATCACCAACAAGGAAAACCTGCAAACGGGGGCCGCATCTGAGAAGTACTTTGTTTGATTTGATTGATTTTTAGTGGATAAAATGTCAGAAAATATTGGAAAATGGTCACTTTTTGTTGATAAATGTAGTAATTTCCTCCCCAACAAAACAGTTCCTATGTATATCCAGTATATCCAGAGGTTTGGTGTTAAACAGGAAATATTGTAGATACTCATAATACCAATATGATAATGTTATAATAATAATAGTGCCAGTAACAGGTATGGCTACAGACCTCCTTGTATTTTGAGTTTATTTAATTTGTCAAAAAAAAAGAGGTAAAACAGGCATAAAAGAGAAAAATTAAAGTTGAATTTGACTGATGATTAAACGTTGTTATTGTGAATTCTTCACAAAATCTGACATCGTGACGGCTCTAAATATATCTACTTGAAGTTTTAAAGGTTTCTGCTTTGTAACTTCGTTAACCTGTAAACCTTTTTTTATTTTTTTTAAAGACTCACAGGTATAAAACTATGTCAAGTATCTTATAATGTGCACATCTTGCAAACCGACCTGCGTTGGATATGATCTTTATCCAAGATTCCTATCAGTGTTTTTAAATTCATATCAAAAAAAAAAAACTGAGAAAAACCATCAACAGTGAGGATTCTCACCACAGAGTCTCGTTGGCAGTGGGATAGAGGTTGATGCGGTCGCTGGTCATTTGCTGACTGAGGGACAGGATCAGGGCGATAAAATACACTGTGGACGCACAGAGAGATGCCGTTAAAACAACATCATCATCAGCATCAGCAGCAGCATCATCCAGCCTCCATCGTGACTCACTTACAGAAAGACGCCAGAGCAGCAGGGTCCAGGGTGAGGAAGCCTCTCAGGGCCATGGAGGCTTTGGCCAGGTTCACTCTGCAGGGGAGAAAGAACAGCTTAGATCATCTATGGACTCATTTTGTTAAACTTACACTTGGGAAACATGCACAGTCGTCCTCAAATGTATTCATACCCTTCCATAAAAAATAAAAATTTTAAAAAAGCAGCATCCACCTTGCTGTTTCTTTTCACTTGCTGTTCCTCCTGCCAGCTGAGTTTTAACATCTGGTCAATTAAAACTTCTAATAAATAAAACAACATGAAACACGCTGTAGAAAATATCACAACAATATGGACATGAATCCCACACAGTGTATGTGATCAGCCGGTGGGACATCCTCACATCCTGAATCCACAACATGTTTCATCACTTTGAACGGGAAATAAAATCCTCGTTGACGCAACAAAAAAAATTTAACAGCAGCACATGAAGATATTGTGTGAAATAACAAAATTTTTAATGCCAGCTTCTTCATGGGGAAGTAAAAGTGTCACAGAATCACATCACAAACAAAACCATGGAATTAAAGTTGCATGGGATGGACTTATCATGTTCTAACTGGTAGAGGGGTAAAAGATCAAACTGGTCCAGAGGAGGCCTGAACCTAAACCTCCTGTGTACGGACCTGTCGAATGCAGACACGGTGCTGATGGCCAGCAGCAGGTAGAGCAGCGACTGAGCCGGGTAGGCCAGAGGGTGGTACTGCTGCAGCAGGTTGGGCAGCGTGGTCATCTGCTCGCCCGCCAGCACGTACACCACGATGATGTTCCACACGGCGTAGCCGGCCAGGAAACCGTGAGAGAACAGGCCAATCACCCTGCAGGTGGAGAACAAACCGCAGGACTGCATGTGAAACTGGGTTCACTCCTTTATCACTCGTAACAAAAGCGGTATTACATTTGGAGTTAATGTTTCTGAGAAGTACGATGTGTGTCGTAGTGTTACATCTGGGTCCCCTGCTTGTTTTTTTTTGTTATAAATTTTCTCATAGATTAAAACGTAAATTTCCAAAGCCATGCTGATGATGCACAACTTTACATTTCAACTGAACAAAGTATTCAAACTCCCTGAACTCTCTGATTAAATGTTGGAATCAATAAATGGATGAGTTGCACCTTGTTAGTTTATTGACAAACATTCTTAAAACTGGTCCAACAACTAAACTAAATGTGCTGTTTGAAAAACTTACATTTAAACATCATATAGGAAACAAAACTGCTATTTTTCTTTTGCAAAACTTGCAAAATCTGTGTATTTTTAACTTTAAAAGATACAGAAAAAATATTTGTGCATTTATAACAGGTCCAATTGAGCACATACTTTACAAGGCTCTCCCTAACATAATGATAAATGAGAGTCATCGTAGCTTCCCTGCACTGGCTCACGGCTTCTTTATGGATTCACTTTAAGGGCTTTTACGTGTTTTTAAAGCTCATATTTTGTAAAGACCAACCAGATATCAGATAATGAATCAGATATCTGTCACAGGGCACAATTACAGGTTTATTACTATTATTTATTCTTTTTTTTCCCACAAAAATTCAAATATGTGCTCTTTAATAAAGTAGTGGAGGACTTCTTTAGATGCTGTTGATGACCCATTTTAAAAAGTACAATTCCCTTTCCTCAAAATATGAGAAAGTTCAGATATTAGTAAGATTGGTTCAGTTATCTACACAGAAGTTACACCTTGGAATTGTGGAAGTAATGTGTAATAGCAAATAATGTCTTTATAAGAACTAGTTTGCATAAAATCCCACGTAGCAAACAACGCTGGCTCCTGGTCCCAAAAGTGGATGCAAGTCAATGGAATCCTTAGTGATGGAAACAAGTTGTACATATATTTTTGTTTATATCTGACCTGAAGCCGCTGTGGACCTTCATGGCCACGTCCCTGGTGGTCCAGAACTGTCTGGGGTCCATGTAGTCGTCCATCATCTCCGAGTGTCGGAGGTGGTCCACTCGTTCTGCCTGGAATCGTCCTGCGCACACACAGTCGCGTTTCCATCACTTCTAAGGACAAACGATCTAAACCAAGCCTTAGAACCCAGCGGTTTGCACACAGACTAACATAAAACAAGATTTTTGCGAAGTGGATTTGGTAGCAGTTTTTTATAAGAGTTTCATGTGTCTATCTGCTGTACTTGTGAAGTTATGAGGACTCAAAAATGCTGCAAAAAGTAACGTCAATTCAAAATTTAGACCCACCCTTGTGCACTTTAAGGGCCTGTAAGTCTGCAAATATGTATAGTATGAACATAAAACATTGCATGGCTTCATTAAATACACTAAAGCTATCATAAAAATAAAACCAGCTGGGAGGCACTGATTGATTTCTTATGGAATGACCTGGTTATAAACGTTAGCACGCTACATGTTTAGGTTTTGAGTCGTCGTTGTGTCTTTTTGGAAAATCCAGAAGCAGAAGAAGAGCATGAATGAACACTGTGGTCATTTTTGAGGCTGCAGTTAGTCCAGCCAGGCCAAAGCAAACGCTGTGAGAGTCTCTGAGGCGATTTGGCAGGTCAGGTGAGACCTCAGCTGCCAGTGACCCACATAGACGGCAGCGCTGCTTCTGATGGATTAAAGAGGCTGCTGGTGCCAACTGGAACCAATTGCTGCAACTTCAAAATGTCGAAAACATAAAAGTGACAAAGATGCTTCCATTTGAGATTGAAGTAAATTAAATAGTTATTTATAAGTAAGCAATTAAACCAAGTAAAACTGTTTCTTTTGTCATGAAGTCGGAGAAAATACTGAAGGGATACAGACATGTCCACTAAAAAGAAAACATCCATAACTGCTCTTTAAGGCTTTTCTGTGGAGATTCAGACCTTTGTTAGCACTGTGGAGCTGCTTTGACCACTTTTGTTTTGTTGTTTCTATCATTGTTGGACAAAAAAATGAACAAATGAATGTCAGAACAGCTGCAGCTGTGTGTTGATTTTTCTTCAATATCAAGGCTTGAAGCACAACGATACGACTGCGTGCTGCCTGCTTGCAGGTTTTCAAATATATCAGACCACCACCCAGCGTTAGGTTTATGCCACAGCTGCCCTGAGTTAACAGCATTGGTAATTACAAAAATCATTTCTTATGTTTCTGTGATGGTTAATACACCAGTATGTAGAAGCTCTTTTTGATTTTGAGGGGGTTGGTGCCAAAGTGGGCCAAAACACATTTAGTAGTTATAAAGAAAAATTGGGTCAAAAATTTGTGTTGCAAAAAAAAAATAAAAAAATCTGGTTGTTGGAGGAGTCATGATTTGCATCCAAAGATGTTTCAACACCGTCCAGAAACAGAAGCAGCTGCTTTGTGACGACTTATTTAAGTTTTAATTCTGCCTTTCCTTTTGCTGAGTGCCAAAGTGGACCGTAGCCCATTTTCTATTTTTTGAGAAAAAAAAAAAGATTCCAGGTTTGTCTCGCTAAACAGCACTGAAGAGTTTACATCATAAGGAACTAGAGATACTTCTGAGGACCATGGGGTAGAAACAGATGCTTGGTGGTTAATTAAGTTTTTATTTTACCTACGAGTTTGAGTTTTCACGGGGCTGGAGGTCGCACTGTCCGCCATCTTGAATCGCAAACACGTGCCACTACCTGCGATATAACAGTCAGCAGCTCCTTTGGCTTGGTCCAGTTTGCCACTAAATGTTCATGCCAAAGCCATCATGGGCCAGACTTCACAGTGGCATTGTGACGTTACTAGTGGGCTGTTGGTTGGACCACTTTGACACAAACTAGTCGACCATAAACACTAATCAAAAAAACATAAAACTCTGCTTTGGATTTTTTGTGGTTTGGCCCGCTTTGGCACTGAACCCCTCATTTGACCATGTAGAATACGATCCACACTCACGGTTTCTCTCCACAAAGACTCGGCCGACCGGCTGGCTGTGTCCGTGCGGGGCGGAGAACAGGGAATGCTGGGGGATTGGCGACGGGGCGTCGGCTACGATGTCATCTTCCTCAGCTCCCAGGTCATTGCTGTAGTGCTCGGTCGTCTTTGTCTTCCTGCCAGGTGACACAAGAGTAAAGAAACTTTTTAACTACGACGACAGTTTGCCGTGATGATCCCTCATGACGCTGTGGTCCAGCATGAAACACACACAAACCAGCCACAACATTGAAACCACCTGAGACCTCTGAAGACGTCTAGTGGCATCAGACACCAAAGACATCATCAGCAGATCCTCAAAGGTGGAGCCTCGATGGGTTAAACTTTTCCATCACACCCCAAAGATGTTCGATCAGATTGAGATCTGGGGAATTTGGAGTCAACACCTTGAACTCCTGGTCGTGCTCCTCAAATCATTCCTGAACAATGTTTGCAGTGTAGCAGGAAGGCAGCTTTTGGCCAGTTAAAAAAAAAAAAAAAAAAAGTGGAATTCCATCAACGCAAACATTAGAGATTCAGGAAGCTGATTTTTGGCTCAAGTCAGCACAAAACTGTCACCACCAATGACTTCCTTTTACTGTTTGTACTGATTCTGTTCATTCTTTTTACTAATGTCATTCATTATCTCACACTAAAGGACTTTAATGTAGTATTGCTCTGTGGTTCTTCAATTTTTCCGTACTTTCCCAGGGACAACAGAGGCCATTGCTTATAATTGTGCGCCATCCACGTAAAAACAAACAAACTAAAGAAACATCTACATGAATGCAGAACCAAAGGTTTCCCAGCATCACCTTGCCTCCACCAGCCTGCTTTCTTCTAGTGCATCCTGCTGCCATTTGTTTAAGGAATGATGCACCAAGCTGGCCAAATGATGTAAAACAAAACCTGATTCAGCAGACCAGGCCACCTTCTTAGAAGTTAGGACAAGTCAGAATCGGATCTCTGACTGGTTTCTATCTACACAGATCCATAAGCAACAAGCTCTGATGCTCTGTGGGTTCTGACACCTTTCCATCAGAGAACTTGTGCTACAACAGTTCCTCTGTAGAACCCGTTCACCAGTCGTCCTTCCTTGGACCAGTTTTGGTAACCACTGCATACTGGGAACACCTGCTCTTTTGGAGATGCTCTGATCACAGATGATCCTCAGGCTGCCAAATTTCCTGCTTTCAACACATCAACATCAAGAACTGACTGTTCACCTGCTGCCTGATAAATCCAAACCACTGACATGTGCCACTGTAACAAGATAATCAGTGCGGTTCATTACACCTGTCAGTGGTTTTAATGCTGATTGGTGGATAATTGCAATAACTTTGCTGACTCTTGTGGCCACATCAGGACTCATGAACACTCCACCTCTGAGGCTCCATCATTCCCACATGCAGTGACTGGTTTAATGAATGCGGTACATCCACGCTAATGCTGTCACGCTGTGCAAACTGTTGACAAAAAAGGAGCAGTGGCTGTATTTGGTTATGCCTGACAGTTTTGGGGAGGCGGTAGGTGTGCAGGTTACAGATGGGGGAACCAATTTAAACATTGTGTGTGTAAATGTTCACAACAAAGACTCATTTTGATATGTAGATGATTTTGCATCAGTCTTTCCTTGACTGTTCCTCTCTTTGCCTCTTATTAGACCAATCATGCTTCTTGTTCAGTGACTGCTATTCAATGACAGTCTTTCATTTATGGATGCTGGTACTCACCTCTTCCTTTTTGTCCTTCTGGTTACAGCAACAGTCGTCTCCTCTCCGTCCATGACCGGCTCGGCCATGTTTCCGTTCGGCATTTCAGCGTGCTCGGCTTCCTGGTCTGACAAAACAAAACACGACGTGGAAGCTTTGACGATGGAGGATTATTGTTAACAGCTCAATAATTCTGATAAACACTGACTCCTGTTTAAAGTCAGCAAAACATGTGGCATAAGGTGCGTTAAAAAAAAAAGGACCATAAGCAACACACAGGTGAGTTCACCTGTTCTACCTCCACAGGGCATGTTAAGTGTAGTCAAGTCAAGCCACCATTATTCAAGTAGCACCTTTAAAACACGAAGCTGAAGTGTGTAGAGAAATGTAGGGTTTACATGTCAAGGTTAGGACCCTACAGTATTCTTTACTGTACAAATTTTCCAGACTAAGTTTAAAACCCAACATCCATCCATCCATTATCTATATACCGCTTAATCCTCACGAGGGTCGTGGGGGGGCTGGTGCCTATCCCAGCCGACTTAGGGTGAAGGCAGGGGTAAATAAACTTTTTTAAAAATTTAAATGCGCTATAAAATCAATTTGCATGCAGTATACACTATATACTAACCCTTATGATATACAATTTCTGCTTATTGTTTACTGGAACACAAACAGTTTGGTGCCTTTACAACGCTACTGCTTCAAATAACTACATAAAAACTGACTTAAAATAAAGATAACAGAAGGTGTGTGTTGGGGAGAAGGACGGGATTAGAAGACTCAGATATGTGACAGGACTTTTGAGTGTATAAAGTATATAAAAATAAAATGCTACCATTGATTAAACCTGAGATGGAGGACACAAAATGTTTGCTAAAAATTCAGCAGCTACTTTTTTTCTCATCTGCTTAGAATTAGTATTGATTTCAGACAAAGAATTAGTCTTAAGGCATTTCTTTTTCCCCTGCATAGAGGTGATCTGTTACAAATCTGGATGCATCGCCATCTGAACAAAACTGCAGTGTTTGAGGGGAGCGTTGCCTGTTACTCATGGTTTGGTCTCTTTGTTGTAAAAGTCAGTAAAGGTTTCTCTACCGATGGTGGCTGCCCTCTTCTTTTTCTTCTTCTTCTGTGGTGCCGGATCCTGCGGCTCAGGCGTTAAAGGTTCCTTGCTGTCAGAATGGCTCCGATTGGTCCCTTCCTCCATCTCCACCTCCACGCCTACCGGAACAGAACAGAACCGATCAGATAGGAATTAAAACAGAATAACAGAGCGCGGAGCGTGTGGAGCTGCAGGTATCCACTGTCCCACCTTCTCCCTGCTCCTCTCCATCGTTGACCTCCTTCTTCGCCTTCTTCTTCTTGCTCTTGACGGTTGGCATGGTGACGCTTCCCTGTGAGAGGGTGAGAAGTTCACAATGGTCTTCATGTGAGTAAAGTCAATCAAAGATCTCTGGGCGTGTTACAGACCGTCGCCCTTTAGAGAGTAATTTAGGTCAGTTAATTAATGTTTAACGAGGATCTCAGGGTTGCCGGGTGGTGATGCCTGTTTGAGATAATTAGATTATCTCTGAGCTCCGAGGACAGGTGGTGGAGCAAAGCTTTAGGAAGCATACTACAAAGAACAAGATGTGTGTGGACACTGAAACCAGAGCAGCCTCTGTTCTGTTCTTCTTAGATTTGGTTCACACTAATCTGAACCTCGGCATTCACTGGGCTCGTTATTAAACAGTACCGACTCTGGGGAGATTTGGAGTTTACGGCTGCACGATAACCCATGTTTTTTGTTTTTGATTGTTTGTTTTGATTTTGTTTTACCCAGCTGAGATGATAACTTTCATTTACACTATGCAGAATGCATGAGGAGAAACCAAACACAAATTCTCACATTGGTTTAAAATAGTTTTATTTTCTGTATCGACACAACTCTCACCTCTGTCAATACATATGATGCTACAGTCTGCAGCTGGTTAGCTTAGCTTAGCATAAAGACTCAAAGCAAGGGGAAAAGCTAGCCTGAACAAAGGCTACAAATTCTACCTCCAGTGCCTCTTCAGCTCAGTGTTTAACATGTTACATCTCTTTTGTTTTGCCTGAACAACAAAAAAATGTATAAATCAAGTTGGTTTTTATGGATGCGTATGACCCGACAGATTCTTGTTGTCGCTGATGAGACTAATAGGTGATAGTTACTTCACTCAGCCAAAACACTATTTCTTGTTACCTATGGACAGAGCCACGCTGTTTCCTTATGACCAGCATATTAGGAGAGCTGATATGGAGCCAACACCAAGCAGTGCTGCCAATTTCTCATTTGTCACTCACAGTATTTCTACAAAAAAAACTCCTGCAGTGAAATAGCAATTTCCCATGAGACCACCTATCATTCATTTTAAATAAATGGTGGTTTCATGTTTGTTAAAGCCTAGAAAAGTTTGTTTTATCTGCATCTCGCCAACCCCTTGGGTAACCTGCTGGCTCCCCCTTTTTTTGAAGTCTGGTATCCAGATCATGAAACGCATCCTTTGCAGTCTCTATGCTAAGCTAAGCTAATCATATTCTGGATTTAGATTCTTATTTAGCACACAAACATTTCTCAAAATGTCAGCCTATTTTTTAAAGGTGGACACGGTCCAGTGAAGAAAAACTGGTTCATGTGATGAGGCGGTATGAAACCTAAACACTAACTGAAAGAATGTGAACACAAGTCAAAGAGGTGTAAGTGGAAGATGAAGAACAAACTCCAAAACAAGTTTTAGAAAAGAATTACTTACCTACTTACTACTCACTACTCACAATGACAAGTCAGATGTTCATTTAACTGTGACTCAGTCACATAAGTGAGGATGAAAGAAACAAAGCAAAATGTCATCCTTAAAGCTTGAGTATTCTATTTATTCCAGATGCATTTTTTAAATTTTGTTGAATTTTTCTTGAACATTTGCTGAAAGCCTCTAAAACCTGCAGCAGTCACAGGCCCATGAAAAGCCTATTGAGGTTGGCTGATTTGATGACATTTTAATAAATGGTTTCATTTTGGAGGGGGAACCTGCTGAACAGTTATCGCTTCCACATCAGATGCACTAACGACCCACTCCCGACTTGTGGCGGTAGCGTCGAAAAATAACAATACGGGACTCTTTGGAGGCTCCGTAATTGGAATGAGTGCCCTTTAAATCCTTTTAACGAGGATCAATTGGAGCACAAGTCTGATGCCAGCGACTGAGAGTGCTGCAGAAGAAAGTCCTAGTTTCTTTCTGCTCTTGATTTCTGGATTCTGACAAACATCGGCTGCTTCTCGGTGGCCCTAATTAGATCAATTCTCCTGCACAGCGCTGGGATCAGCTGGTTGTAAGAGGTATCATAGCGGTGCTGACTGGAGGGAATGAGCTGGTATGCTGTCTGTCTACAGATCACCACAACGCAACGTTAAAATGACTTGCAGGCTGTGAAAACCATCAGCTGGCGGAAGGAAAAAAGAACAGAGCTGCATAAGATCAATGCTACACACCAATATGAATCTAAATCTTAATACTTTAAGTTCATAGCTCTGTGCAACATCAGTACAAAAAGATGCACTTAAGGACACTTCAGCAGTAAAGTGCATTTCAGTACATTTTATATTCTAATGACACACTTCAAACATATTAATCCTGAGTGCACATAACAAATTAGAATTAAGTGTGCTTTTAGTGCATTTTTTTCCCCCCGATGCATCTCATTGTGGCAAAATAGTATCCATCAACAATACACTCAAAAACTGACTGCATTTGCAGTAATAGATTAAATCGGTTGATCAAATGCCAGTTTGAGATAATCTGCATCAGTTTGCTATTAGTTTATGAGGCTGTTAAACAAAACTGAATGCAGCAGAGGCAGCTCTGTGAGCGAACAAAGCTGCACAAGACAAGCAGTAACGTCTAAAGTCTTTGCTTTTTAAAGCTTAAATATGCAATTACCACTTTTAAAACCTACACAATGGTTCCAGTCTGTATATTTGGATTGATTTCAGTTTACATTATTTGGGAATTGTAGAGTGGCGAGCCTTCAACCAGCTAAACCAGCTTAGAGGCTTGACAAACTATTGACTGGGTGTCCCCCGGCCACTGCTCCAACTCCTGGGAACATTTTTGCAGATTTGACTGTTGATCCTAAATAAACATTCACTATAACATTTCCTTTCTTGTTCATCATATACTTGACAGCTCTTCTGTCTTTGCTGTTAGCATTACTGGGTATCAGCAATGTTAAAGACCCCCAGTTCAGCACACATGTGAATTATGGATTAATTGCTCAGTTGAACCATCACAGTGTGACATACAGCTTTACTACCGCTGCTATTTTTTAGTTAAGTGATCTGGATCCATGTCAAAGTTTTATGAAATGAATCCTGGTAACTACCAGTCACTGTCATGGCAGCTTTTGTCTCAGTTTTCTTGAATTTGCTGATCCGAAAAACAATCAAATCCACGACTCAACCATGAGTTTGGGATCGGTCACATCTACTATGTGGCTAAACTGTACAAGGCATCGTCATTATATATCAGCCAGCTCTCAAAATAACTAGCATTAGTTATTGATAAACACATTGTGGTCAACTAATTGTCAGCTTTGAGTACAAACTAATCAATTTCAAATCTTCTCCAGTGTGAACGCATTAAAAACCTGCTGTTGAATAGTGTATTGTTCAGATTTCACACAACGATCGACTGTTGGGTTGCAACTAACGATTGTTGTCATCTTTGATTATTCTTTTGATAATTTTCTCGATTGCTTTAATAGATTTTTTGTTCTATAAATTGTCTAAAAATGGTGCAAATTGTTAATAAATGTCTCATGAAGCCCATTTTGTTTTGTTCACAACTCAAAATATTCAGTTTAACGTCACAGAGGAGGAAAGAAACCAGAAAATATTCAAAGTCAAGGAGCTGGAATACGAAGAAAAATGTTAACTTATTTTACTTTGAAAATTAATTGACTATCAAAATAGCTGCTAATTAGTTTAATAGTAGACAACTAACTGACTAACTGTTGCAGCTCTAGTGAAATGTCAGAACTGGAAACACACCAGATGGTCAGATGAAGACCATTAGATGAGGTTAAAAGTGCCTGATAGAGCTAATAGATGACGCTTTACTTAAGACTTTCACTAAAGACCCTTAAAAACTGAATAAATATTGGCACAAACAATGCACAAATCTCCAAATGTTGCACCATGAAAGGCTATTCATCTGCTGTTTGAGGAATAAAAGAAGTTTTAATTAAAATCAGGATGCTTACTTGTCTGCTGCTGCTGCTCAATGGTAGCTTGACTTTGGCTCGGTGCCTTTTAAAGGATGACCTAATTAAAGTCTTTATCTTTTCTGTCACGAGGAGAAACTAAAGCTGCACAAAGCACCTTTTATTAAAAAGATATTTTTTAGGTATGTTACAGAGAGCCATGCTCACCTGTGCAGTTGATTCTGTCGGCGGCTGTGAGGATGAAACACTGCAGACAATCCTCCTCTGGTGTCTGAGGGCGAACCAGAGTGTTAAAACTCCACTTTCTTTGCTTTATTTCTGTCTTCAGGCCTTGTTTAGTCCCAGAGATGCATCCAAGATGACAGCAGGATTGGCTAAATAAGAAAAAATCTGAAGCATAAACAAAGTTGAGGAGGTAAAGGTGAAGCAGAAAGCAGATTCAGAAGGGGGGGAGGAGGCTCATTTGCAGCTTTGAGATACGCTGCAGGCTTTAGAGAGGGACGTGGATCATGTGCTGAGCCCTGTCAGCCTGTGCAGCTCCGCGGTTGGTTGATCGGATGTGACGTCGCCTGCTGGCAGAGCTGCAAATTAGCCATGGATGCTAATAATCTCTCGGCCGCGCTTTCTCGTCAATTATTCCTCCGGCAGATCCAATCACTTGTTGCTCTGCGGAGGAAACAGAATCAGGTGAGTCTGAGGTCAAACTCTGTCGTGCACCTCTGTGTAAGTGTTCTCCTCCCATCCTGAAACACAACGTCAATACAAACAAACCCACAGAAACACATCTTGCATGACAGTTTTAACAGTTTGGTTTTTTTACAACACTTTGACATGATATTATAAAATACGAACAGTGCGTCAAAGTGAAAGTCTATTTTTCCTTCAGGCGAGTTTGACCAACCTGGAGGTTTGTTTAGCTCTTAAATACGTCTAAACCTCCTGATCTGATGCCACATCTTTGTTGTTAAATATATAACAAAACAAAACAATAACTTAGATTTTGAATGGTTTCATGCTGTTGGTCATTTGAGAGGAGTTTTCCAACAACGTCTTAGGAGAAAACTTTCAATCCGTGGGCCGCCATCACACAGGTAAATGTACTGTAGCTGGCTTTGTGTTTAGAGGTGCAGCTAAATACTGATACAGAGATATATGATGTTACTACGTC